TCTATATATATATATATATATAGAGAGAGAGAGAGAGAGAGAGAGAGAGAGAGAGAGAGGAATGAGTGATCAAATGCAAACCACCATCATCCATCATTTCATTGTTTAATCTTATGATTTTTTTTATGAAATTGTTTCATATAATACTTTTTTTGGTAAAGTTATTTCATACATGGTTATGAAATAGTTTCATATAATACTTATAAATTTTTGATGAAACTGTTTCATGTATTTCTCTAAAAATTAATGAAGATAATAATATCCATGATTAACACACTCCATAATAAAAATGATTAATCAACCTCTCATAATTACAAAAAAAATTGAACGAAATGAAAAATTATGATTGGTTGAATGTGGTTTGTACGGGTTATACAAATAACGTGGTTTGCAAAGTAAACTCTCTCTCTCTCTCTGTGTCTGTATATATATAGGGACCTAATCAAATGAGAACTGTTTTGTTTGTGGTAACCTTGAGATCCAATCTCAACCACAAGTCAAAGGTTAAATTAGAAAATTAATAATTTTGGCAATTTTAACTTAAAATATTAATTAAGGGCATTTTAGAGATTTTATAAATATTCCCTCTCATCTCTCATCTTTCTTTTCTCCGACGAATCTTATTCGGCTAACCTTATTCCGATGAACCTTATGTGAAAACAAAATACGCACAGTAATACCTACAAATGATATTCACTGTGATACCCATACATACATACAAAATGCACAATATGATACCCTTTGTAAAGCAATGAAAATAACGAAAATGCACACTATGATACATTTCATAAAACAAATAAAATACATTGCGAACGTTATCACTATAATACAGTTTGATTCATAAACGTCTTTAAAATACGATGTATATTAGGTAATTGATATAGTAGGTGGCTAATTTTAATTAAATATTTCCTTTTAAAAAAATTAATTAAATATTTTGATTAGTTGTCAAAAATACAATTAATATATTACCCTGTTAGCTTATTTAAAAAATATCCTTCAATATCTCAAATGAATGGTTCAAGTGGATCTCATGATTATCAAAAACTAATCAGTTTTTCCTTGAATGTGTTCATAAAAATTATTTTATAATAATTATTCTATATTTTCTTTTCAATCATAACTTATATTTTTTTGTATAGATTTATTAAAATAAAATAAAATGGTTAAGAAATAATAAATAAAATAATAACAGAAAATGAAAGTATGAAGAACCTAGATTTTTGTTCAATTACGTGGATTCTATTAAGAACATGTGACTCGACAAGAACCTATGTCTCACGGTAGAGAGGTCTTGTAAAACCCCAAAAAAAAAACTTCATCTGAAACCTCTATTGTGGATGCTTTAAGATACTAGAGTAAATTACAATTTTTGGTACCTTCGGTTTAGTAATATCACGGCTTCGTATTAATTTCATTTACTGCATAAAAGGGCTTATCGTTTGCACTCTGTCATGGTTTTTGACTGTGGACGAATGTCAATCTATTATCTTTGTCAAATATGAGATTTTTTATGTCATTTTCCCATTCTCCTTTATTTGAGTATGCTAGCAGATGAAGCTGGGAACTTATTGTGCATCATGACACAAGGGATATAGATCTTAGCTTGATTTAGAACCAAACAAACATGCACTTACAAAAAAAAAAACACTAATGTTTCATGTTTCATTAGAGTAGTTAGGATGAATGGTTTTCGTTGGAGTAGTTGGTAGGTTGGACATGGGTTGGGTTGGTTGATTTTAAGGAGTTTGAATAATCCTACCCGATTATTGTAGTCTTAAAAAACTAAAATTGGTTAAAAAAAGATTTTAAGTATAAACAAGTGCGTGTTGCATTGGCATGGTTGTGACTAATAGGACCATTGCATGAGCATACTTAGATAACCATTAGTGATGCAGCGTACAATAAGTGAATGAAGGTTGATCTCTTTGATTTTACGAATCCCAGGGAGCATATTCTTCTAAAGTTCGTTCATTCAACAAATACGGAACTTTATGCTCAAATCGAATTCACGTGAACTCAAATTTTGGATGAAAATGAAAGTTTGTTGTATTCATGGTCTGATCATCCAGATTAAATAGGAAACACATAAATAAGATTCCAAAACCCAAACGGGCCAGAAAAGACGATGTGCCACGCGTAAAGCCTAAATGAAAAATATAAAAATATGGCAAAAAACACAAAAGTGTCCAAAAACATGTCCAAATGACGTTTTAGGCCTTGAATCGTAGGGCCCTTTAGGTCCTACCTAGAGTGTGTTTCTCGTTTCACGCTTCAAATTGACTGGTTATGGGAGTCCTTAGCAAAAGTCATGTGTGTTTAAGCACGACACTCTTCGTTTGTCCAGTCATGAGCCTGAGGGAACAATAAGGTCTGGTCCTCAATGTCAACGCCCGCATCAATTAGTCACTATTCTAAGTTACTTGAGATTTTGTGTCAACGCCCGCATCAATTAGTCACTATTTTATGCATCAATTAGTCACTATTCTAAGTTTGGGTATAAAACCCAGGTCCAATTTCTTATGCGGGAGACCCAATTCAGATAGTCGTGATTTTTCCCTCTCTTAGGCGATTTATCTCATCCTTTATCTCCTCATTAAAATCAGTTGTTTGACATAAATGTGCATATATTATCCATCTCCAAACATTTAAGAGCTTCCAAGTTAGAAGATTTCAAGCTGGGAAAAAGATCCAAGTTCATCTCCTCTATTTTTAGGGTTTTGCTTGGTTTTCTAGGTTTTCTTTAAAAACCTAGCAAATGAGTTTCAAATGCTTTGTAAAACTAGATGCATGTCAAAAAGCTTATCTTGCTTATATTTCTAGCTTTACATAAAATATTATCATATTATTTAGTGATTTGGTCATATAACTTCATTTAGAGAACATTTGTTTTATTTTTAAGGAAACCAATATATCGGGGTCATGAACTAACTCTTTTCCATTATTAGACTTTATACTAAGAAAGGTTTATACAAAAGTTTTCTTAAAGTATTGAGGTCTCCACATAGATTTTATTAT